AAATAAATAGTTTAAATTATTACAATAATATTATTTATTATTATACAATTCCCTTTTCAGGGCTCCAATTGAACGGTAAAATTCCTAGTAATGAAAAACACGGTCAAAGACTTGCTAGTGAATTAATATGGCCGAAGTTTCCGATATGCAGCATTGAGCATTTGATTTAATAATTTTCTAATTCAACCCTAAGAAAATGTCAAAAATAAGAAGCGAGAAAGACTACGGTCAAATGAAGAAGAAATGAGGGTCTGCTTATCACCCATTGATTCATTTTGGATTTCAATACAAAAGGAATATCCCACATTAGCTAAAAAGGCTTTATCAGTTTTATTGCAATTTTCTACTTCTTATTTATGTGAATTAGGCTTATCAACCCTAAGAAAATGTCAAAAATAAGAAGCGAGAAAGACTACGGTCAAATGAAGAAGAATTGAAGGTTTGCTTATCGCACATTCAGCCAAACATTAAAGAAATCGCAAAAAACAACCAGGTATGGATTTCACACTTTATAAGCCGCACAAATAGTTGAATAGAAACATTGAAGTAAAGTTCATATTTGTGTGTGTATTTTTTTAATTTAAGGTTTTATTAAAAATTTTGCTAAGTGTGCCGAGATATTTTCATTTGCTTATAGGTGCGCCGTTGCTTAAAAAGGTTGAGAAACACTGATCTAAACTGTCAGTTCTCTGCAACAGAAAAAAAAATACCTTTTTGTACATTTGATGTGTGGTAAGGAGCACCATAATACTGAAAAAAATTCTCCGTGTTTGTAGTCTGGCAGAAGATTAGACCTGTGGCAAGTCGTGCCAGAGAGAGATTTGGTAATTATTTTATCGGAAATTTGGAATTAAAACGAACTAAATCAAGAGGGATGAACAAATAATATTTATTTATTTGATTTAGAGTGAGATCTTTAATATTTGTGTATCAAAATGTTCGTTTATAAGGCAGATATTGGTAGCAGTCTGGAGAAAGTTCTTTTTGGCTCGGTATTCGACAGATTAGAAGTCAGAACTTGGTAGCGGTAGTCATCTTAGAAATAGATCAGCGTCCATCTTCTGTGTTTTTCTCGACCCTAAAAAGAGCAGAAAATATCAATAATAGATGACCTCTTAACTTCATCACGCAAGGCTGGTTTTTCTGGTGGTCGAGTTTCTTGTTCCAAGGTTTTCTCTTTCTCGTTTAGCTCAGGCCTATGAGCTTATATCCTTTTGACCAAACTCACAGACTACTGGTGCTAACCTTTGTTTCGGCTAACATCAAAAGTTTCTTTGTGTTATTTATTTATTTATTTTGATTAGTCCAAACTATTTTATTTTCCGGCGTTCCTTTCTTTTTCATTTTTCTAAAGCGTAAGTTACGCGTGGAGACTGATTATTGATAGTTTTTAGTCAGAAATTGCTAGACTCTGGTTCAGCAAACCTCCGCCGTTTTTCGACCGGGTTCAGTCTTTTTTCTTTTTTTTTTTTTTTTTTTTTTTGATTGGGAGAGAAATGTAGAGAGTGAGGTTTAGAAGGCAGATTGATAAAGAGATAAGGGTTTAAAGGGAAAGCAAATGCCTTATTTTGATTCTTTCTTTCTTTATTTTATTTTCATATTATATTTAATTTCTATCGGGACTAATTCCAATTAAAAAGATATAATGTAATAATATTAGTTGATAGTCAACGAACTGAAGTTACTTCGAACGTATAAGAATGAATATACGAACAATCGCATACATCTGTAGGGAATTGGTACTACAGGATTATAATTGATGTGGTTGCGATTGGTCACCAATTTGTAGCAGGAATTACTATTTGTTATGACTGAGGTAAGAAACTCTCAAAGTAAATTAACATTTTCAGAAGAAATGAATTTCAAAACAATTACATTTATAGTGATATTCATTGGCATGTCTGTTTGAACTATGATATTGAAGTTCCGATACAGACACCACCCGAATGGTGTTGTAACGATCATCATCATTACATACATACATATATACATACTTATGCAAATTCAAATTATACAACTACAAGCATTCATTGGATGGTAAATCAACACTACTGTGTAATGCGACAATTTTATAATCGCTATATTTTCATGTAGTCGATTTCGTGCACTTTTGGGAGAATCGGATCCCAGAAGCTTTTCTTGAGTCTCCCCAAAGCTCGCTCGCTGATTGGTCAATGCAAACCAATCAGATTGTCTGCACGTTAAGAGTGATTCTTCCCGCGCAGCGCTTTCGGAGCCGATGATCACCTATATAAGCAAAGAAAATTCTTAGTAAACCAGTGAAATCTCAGCTGCCACAGAAATCCACGACAGTTGAAACCATGCGCCAATCTTCTCACTCACACCACTACTCACATGCTGAATATTCCCTATACTCAAATAATACTTTTTCTTACACAGCAAAACTGTTGAAAACATTTATTACCAGAAACTATTACAACCTTATTGCTTTAAGTGAACTTTGGCACAATTGATAGTGAAAGAGAGACAACTCTTTTTTTACTCAATGCATGCTCTTCTTTCACATCCTTGTTTGTACATCTTGTTAAATACTAATTTTATGTGTAATGATGTGTTTGGCTTATCCTCTTTTTCTTCACGTCAGTTTGGTTTCTTAATCTAAGTTAAATAAATGTAGTGAAGTCCGCCACAGTGTCACAAATGGCGATGCTGTGACTATACTGTGGAATTTCCCATTCCCACGGACAAGTGATGCAAATAAACCAGACATAGTAATAAAAAAATTTAAAAAAAAGAACCTGCCAATTAACTGATATAACTTGGCCACAGGATTCCAATGTTTCGAAAAAAGAATTTCAAAAACTGTCAAATAATAAGAATCTGCAAATCAAAGTAGCAAAAAACATGGAAACTTAAAACCACAATTATCCTTGTTGTGATCGATAACAAAGATGATAAAAAGGGGTACCAAAGATCATGTGAGTAAAACTCCTGGACGCATCATCATCTCAGGGCTACAAAAGATTACTTTGTGCGGACCTGGGATTTTCAGTCACTTTTCTACCGCCGTAGCGTAGCTTCCCTGTGCCTTTTTTTTATATAAATACTTTCATGATGGTACATAAACTATATGAATTTAATCGCAGTACTAGATTTGCGGCAAGGTCTTGTAGTGATTACTACTATGTTTGCCACGCCTACATTTTTCTCAACTGTGATTGGTCAAATAATAAATACTAAATATCACAGGACAATTTACTGATCGCATTCACCACACTGAATTTTTCCTACCGTTAACTCACAAACATGCTTTTGTTATAAAATCACCGATTGGTTAATTTTTCATCCAATCAAATATTTTTCGTGTTCTTTCAAAATTTATCCCGCGTTCGTGCTGGGAGCCTACCGTTAATAATATAAGTTCGGATTCATTCCCAAATTAAACAGTAGAGTTGAAGACAGTAGAACTCAACTACTCACACGCGTCTACACAGATTATTCATTCTACTCACTCCGCACGCACACACACAGACACAAAACTTGAATATCATTCACCATCAGTTCTTTGTGAACAAGCCAAATTGCACCTCTGTTAGTTATACAAAATATACAATTGAACTTACTGTATGTTTTTCTGAATACACATTCTATTTTAACACAGAACTGTGAACATTATATTCAGAAAACTTGCTTATTTAAATATCACCATATTCAACTAACAGATAAAATGAAACTACTTTTTTCTTCTTATTCACACATTACAAAATTATCTTGTGTTTGTTGATTTTAATATATATTTTATCGTTGAAACACAAATCGGTTTTCCATTGTTTTTCCTTGATTTTAAAAAAATGTATAAATGTTAAATGCTCTTCAACACACAGCCACATTAATCTTTTCAGCAAAACACCATTACCCAACGTTAAAGGAAAGTAGCATTTACACTTTACAGTCTCATCATTTTACAGTTGAAATGGTTAGATGTAACCGTAAGGCTAACAGTTTCTTCTATCACACTTATCATATGTGGAACTCTCTTTCGGCTTTTTGCTTCCGAGTCAACTTTGATGTTTAAAAATTTAAATGTAATGTTAATCGTTATCTTCTGTCTTCTCAATACTTGTTCTTTTATTCATCTCTCACTAATAGTATTTTTCTCATATTCTCTAACACCCAGTAGCCCCTTGTGTTCTAGTGGCTTTATTGCCTTGCATCTAGCCATTTGTAAAATGATGAGACCTTGCCGCTAAACTAGGAATTCGAACTCAGCTCTCTGATTTTCAATTTCGAACTGTTATCCATTACACCACCTGCACATCCAAGCTTAAAGTAACTGGTATTCCCAAACAGTTCCATCGCTTGGACCCCTTTCGACGGCCTCTGTTCTACACAAAAAATTATGTAAAAAAAAAATAAGGTGACAAGATGGTTGCTTAAAAAAATGTTAAGGAGATTCGTTTATTTTTTTTTAAAATAATTTCACCCCCAAACAAAGCAATAAAGCCACTTAGACGCAAAGGAGGTACAGAGTATGAAAGAATGTGAGAAAAGAAAAAACATTATTAAGAAGAGAGAACAGTAAAAGAACAGGAATTATAATGATTGACATTGTATTCAAATTTTTGAAGGTCAAAAATGAGTGGAATGCAAGACAGGAAAAGAGTTCCACAAGCTGAAGCAAGAGAAGAAACTGTTAACATAGAATTTACGATTCAAATTTATGTAATAAATTATAGGGACAGACAATGAGAATGATTTTCATTGTGTTTTCCGTGCCTATTAAGTTGCCGTAATTTTAAGCTTTATTGCAGCAAATTTTAGTTCACAGAGAAACTTTCGTAAAAGTAGTACTCATTTAATATTTCATGCCATTTTTCTTAGGAAAGGTAATAACTATTTTTTAAAATTAAATTAATTATCTTCTTTAAAACAAGTCGATCTATTGAAATGTGAATAATACGTTTACGAAAAAAACGTTCTTGCTCTAAAAAAGAAACCGGAAGTTCTTCCTAACCGGGTGTTCCTTTTTTTAATTCAAAATGGCTGCCAGCGGGTCTCACGTGCAAGTAAAATTGTTCACTAAACAATCTCAGTAAGTTATTTTATCTTGTTATTTTTTATTTCTCATATTTAATTCCAACGTCAGGAAACTCACTTTCTTGTTTCGGACACAAAAAAGCTGAACAAAGGTCATTACTCTGTATTCTCAAATAAATATTGTTGCCTTTTCTCCCCTCAGCAAGAACACGTGGATCAAGTAATAATAATAATAGTTTTAAATTTATTTTGAAATGTAAAAAAAAAAAAAGATTTTAAAAAAGAAAATGACAATCAGAAATTTTCTTTTTACTCAGTTTAATTTTTTATTTTTTTAATTTTTTATGATTCTAATTTATTTATGGGACGAAAACTCCAAAAACAAAAGCTCGATAAAAATAAAATAAGGAATTTTGGCATAAAAATAAATTTTATTTTTATGCCAATGAATGTTTTTTCAGGATCAAATATTTGGAAATTTTTAATCAGCCTTTTTTTTTTATTGTCATAATAAATTAAAAATTTTTTTTTTTAACTTGCCCCATTGGTATTTTGGTATTTTTTGGCACTACTTAAATAGACTGGTCAACTAAAAAAAAGTGGGGAGGGCAACTTCTTGAGAAATAATTTTGTCTGAATCGAAAAAATATTGCTTCGTTATCGATTTAGAAATGGGGTTCTGTTTATCGATAAAGTATCAAATCGATCCCTGACTTTTACAGAGTTATTGGGTCTCTAGTTGTTTTCTTTTTGAAGGGAGATTGCAAAAAGATTTTTAAATAACGAACAAAAATTTACATAAATTAATAAAATTGTGTATACGTTTTTATTCTTAATTTGATTACGAACTTCAAATGTTTGTGCATGTGTTTCCGAAAGAAATTACATACAAAACTGTACCTGAAGCAATATATTGTTCAATTTCTGTTCCTGAGGTCAATCCCTCACCATACCGAGAGCATAGATTCCTGACTAATATTTATTTTTTCTTGCACTGGGCAATGCACAATGAAATTGAATAGCAGTTTCCAGGTGCACCAACACATGCACATACATCCACACAAATAAAACATGCTATCAAATGAAAAGTAATAATGTTTAAAATATATTGAAATTTATCAGTGTACAGCAGTATTCAATTTATGCAGGGCCCAAGAATAAAAGCTGTGTCTCAAGTGCTTCCTCCTAGAACTAATAGTGCCAAAATATCCTCCTGAGTGTAACAGTTCAAACAAGTTATGCATGCATGTCTTCTATTAAGTTTTCTGCTCTGCTGCTGCGACAAAGTCTTGGGTATGATGATAAACTACATCCAGCAGCAAGGCCTCTGATTGGAGGTTTTGAGGAGCATGCAACCACCTCCTAATTGCTGTTGTTCCCAGGTCCACCCCGACCAGGGGTGGTAGCACTGGTTAGGGTCTCAGCTATGGGCAAGTAGTGAAGACTGAAACAAAACAATATGAAAATATAAAAATATGTATTTATAGTAAAATTACGAACAATGCAGAGTTTATCTGTAGTTGAAGGCATACAATTCCATTCAAAATATATTTGAATCCATAAAATTCAAAATATTTAGATTTTGGTATTAAATAATTTCTAGAGGTTGATATATCACTAAATAAAATCACCCAACCAACACGAAAGAACACTTTCATGACATCAATCCATATAATATCCTACAATTTCAATCTATATTCCAAAATATAACTTCAACAAAATTATAGTATAAAACACACATATCACCGCCTCTAGTAATCATGTCCACACAAACATATATATGCACAAAAGTTGAGTATCATCTACCGTGTATTCAATTGTGAAAGAATATATATCCTATTTTTATTACTTAAAAGCTCCCAAGAATATTAAATTTCGGCATTAAATGACCCAAAATATATGCCATTAATCAAATCTGCTGTGACACTGAGAATTAGTACTTTTATAAGACTTGATTTGTAATAAAATTACTTAATTTTAATTTTACTAATGACAGATCATAAACATTTTTCTTGTTTTGAATTGTTCTTTAAAATTTGATTAGCAAAAAACAAGTGAATTCATAAATTAATCACATGTACTCTGTTGTTTTAGGCACAATGTTTCAACCAATACATTCTCTGGCCATATTCAGGTGACTGTTGCATCCAGGATTCTCTCAGAACATAAAAAAAAGGTCTATTTTCTCAATTGGGAAAATTTATACATCTAAGTACCAAGGCCTTGCACTGAAGCTGAAAAGAAAAATTCTTGGCAGATATGTAAATATTGTTAGATTGTAGTATACTCCTGAAGAAGGCCATAGTAAATAGTTGAAAGGTGATTAACAAAAAAAAGAAAAAGCAAAATGATGAGGCTCGGAATGATTTTTAAAGGAATAATGATTTTATCTCAACTTGAAAAACAATGTTTATTTAAATGTTGAATTTTTAAGTAGTGACCCCAAAAAATAATTTTTTTTTATTTATTCTAACAGATATTCAGTTCCTGATACACCATTCTCTGTGCCTGACAATGCCGGTCCAAAAGAACTTTGCTCTTTGATCAATGGCTTACTGAAAGGTTAGTTTAGGAATTTTTTTTTGTCCTGTCCAGACCAAATGGGTTTATATATATATATAAAAAAAAAAAAATCTTACTAAAATGTCAAAATTGTAAAATGACACCAACTGGGGGAATTTCAATATTAAATAATGGTAGATATACTTTACTTTTTATGTGAATTTTGTTTATTGATTTAACAATCCCCTGGCATTCTATTCAACTTTTTGTTTATTGAAGTCTGCTTTAGTTTATTTAATAATTAGTTATGAATTCAAACAAATTGCTGCACATTTATTCAAGTTTAAAAATCCAATATTTGCTATTGCTATTCACAGATCACGACATCTATCAGGGAGATGAAATTTAAATTTTTATTATTACATTATTCCAAAATTTCAACACATCAGCAGATCACTATTATTGTCAACAACTGAGCACAAATAGTTATTAATTAAAAAAAATTAGTAATTAATGTATAATATTATCCATAACTACATGTGCAAGAATGTCTTTTTAGATAAAAGTAAAAAAAATAATCATAAATATATAAAAAAATGTGTATATTGTTGAAAATTCTTTTTTCCACAATACAGTTATTTATGCTATGTTATAATGCTTATTACCAAAACAATAATAATACTGAATAAATCTTTTTGAGCATTAAAGTATATTTAATCACATCTCCCTAATAGCTTTCACAATCTGTTAATTTGTAAAACTCCTCTATAAGAATAATCCATGTAAATATATATGTACTAATTCAGAAAAAGAATGAAGATTTTCAATAATATATGCATATTATTTGGAATCTTTTTGAGTCAAACAATCTCGGAAAGTGTTGGGGGTGACATTCTGACATATGGTGAAAAGGGTGCACTGAATAAAAAAGGTGGAGAAACTTTGTACTCTACTATCTTTTGGGTGAATATCCCTGTTTTTATGACAAAGTTTCTGCTGATTCACTCTCCAGTTGTATGTTTCATCCGAGTAACTTCCAATGAATTTTAAGTGGAAATTTTTTGTTTATGATCTTAAGTGAAGGTGAGGTTTACTGGATGGGGAAACATGTTTGAGAAGGATCAAAAGGTGTATGCAGTGAAATGGTATGTGCCACAATAGAGATAGATAGAAATTAAACTTCATCTTGAAAGTTTAGGCAAAATGAGTCGCATGTTAATCTTACTGCCTCCAAAATGAAACTGCTCTCTTTTAATCATTTGCAAGATACCTCTTTCCATGGCTGATGCTAACCTCCAGGACAGTGACTTGTTGCACCTTCTCAGACTAACTTTTTCAGCTGACATGAAGTAGAAAGAGTAGATTGAATCAATTGCTAAGTCTGCAACTAAAGAAAGGTGGTTCACTATGTCATGGGAGAATTTTTCTCACTAATATCTGTTTTACGTATTTATAAGTCTACCATTCATCCTTTTTTGAATATTGCTGCCACATCTTGTCTGCTGTCAGGGTTTGGGTTGGTTAATATATTCTTGAAATCCAAAGAAGAATCTGTGATGTTATTGATCCTGACCTGGCATCTCAGCTTCAGTCCCTTTCCCACTGCGGTAATGTAGCTTCCCTGTGTTTCTTCTATAAATACTTTCATGGTAATTGTACTTATGAACTTTCCTCTGTGGTACCTAGACTTTATGAATTTAAGTGCAGTACTAGATTTGTGGCAAGAACTTGTCATTTTACAGTTGAAATGGCAAGAGATGTAACCGTAAGTTCTATGCTAACAGTTTCTTCTATTGCACTTCTCGCTTGTGGAACTCTCTTTTGGCTTCTTGATTCCTAATCAACTTTGATCTTCAAAAATTTCAATGCAATGTCAATTGTTATCTTCTGTCTTAATTTTTGTACTTTTATTGTCCTCTCTCCTTAATAGTAGCTTTTCTCATATTCTCTAACACTCAGTGATCCCTTGCATCCTAGTGGCTTTATTGCCTTGCTTGGGGGTGAAATGATTTAAAAAAAAAAATAATTCCATGTCAAATGTTTAGAAGAGCTATATTCTATAGTTCAACTAGGTCACACCTTCACAGCTAGAACCTGCCACGTCTTGTACACTGCATGGAATCCTCCTTGTCCCCCTTGTATTAGATTAGTAAGAAATTCCACTCAGTTTTTTTCCCCAAGAACCACAGCTTTGTGGAATTGATTGTCCTCTTTCCTTAATAGTATTTTTTTTATATTCTCAGTACCCCCTTGTGTCCTAGTGGCTTTATTCCCTTGCTTGAGTGAAATGGTTAAGATAAAACAAAAAAAACATATTGGCTTATACTGTTTGACTTGGTGAGAGGTGGGGGTGTCTTTTTCTCCTCTTACCTGAATTTCTGTTTAAAACACCTGAAGGTTCCACTCTGACATCTTCTTCCCCCAGAACTGTGTACTTTGTGCAACAGATTCATGAAAGCATGCTTCCCTATTAGCCCGTTCAAGTCTAGGGTCAAACATTATCTATCCTACATATCCTCATAATATGCACTTCATACTTCCTCCCTTCACACCCTTACAACTTCATTCAGAAACCCTCTAACTTGAGTGGCTCTTGTGCCTTGTACTAAGTGTACTGTAGCATAAAAAACAGCTTGGACAAATTGTAATAAGGTGGGCATAGAATGTTAAGACATATTTAAGAAAAAAATAAGTGTTTATTTCGGTACTAGCTTAAAAGCCGCAGTCTGTATGGACTTTTAAGCTAGCTTCAGTGGAGGGCTAATTAGACCTCAGGCCCCAAACTAAAGAGACCCTCTGGTCCAGCTTAGAAAACAGCAATGATAATTTTAAAGAAATAACTTTGAATTCCTCCATTTGCTCCTTGAAATTTCAAGACCTTGCTTTAACACTGATACAGGCTATAAGTCCAAATTCGACAAAAAAACTAATTTGGGTTGGAAATTCTGTTCTTCAAATCACAAACTCTGCAAAAGTCCAAATTCTCACGTCACTTTAACTCTGATTCCTTGGTATTTTTAAGAAATAAAATTGATTTCCTCAATTCACAAAGTTTGGGAGATATTTTAAACTTGAATTTAAAACAAAAAACTTTTAAAATTGCTAATTTTTTTTAGTTATTTTAAAATTTAAAATTTTAATTCTCCCCTCCTCATCTGAACACAGATCTCAATGCTGGATGTTCAAGCACCAGATGAAGGGCAGATTTTCAATCCCATGATCATACTGATTCCTAAAAAGTATAATATATCTATGTAGAGTAAGTGTGGCCAAAGTTAGAAAGATTTCAGTTACATGGACAGACAGGCAGAATTTTCTGTTTATTTATTTTGAAGAAATATGCTGTATAGAAAAAGGTTTTCTCTTTCTCTCTCTTTCTTTTTTTACTTTTTTACTGTACTGTACATTAACAATTTCTTATCCTGAAATATGTCAACTTTGTTGAAGCATAAAATTACTTTTACCCAAGCTTTTGAGAACAAAATTCTTTTTCATCAACTCTAGGAGAAGGGCAACTTGTATATAGCCTTAGTAAAGCTTATACTATTTAGACATTGAAAGGGTTCTGGAGTTTACAATGACTGTATGGTCTTGACTGTGGTCAATTGGACAGACTGATTGGACTTCCAGAACTTTTACTTTCCCATTTTATTATGAATGGGACATAAACAAGTGAATAAAGGAAATGATAAATTATTCACACACATCTCTTGCTTTTACACAATGTTTCAGCCAATGCATTCCCTGGCCATATTAAGTTGACTATTGCATCCTGGATTCTCTCAAAACTTAAAAACAACGTCCATTTTTTCAATTGGGATAATTTACACAGCTAAGTGTCAAAGCCTTACGCTGACACTCGAAAGAAAAAAAATCTTGTCAGATTGTAACATATTCCTGAAGACCATCATAATAGATAATGTCTAAAATTGTAGACAGCAGGTCTGGTAAATATGGTATCACCTCCCACCTCCCCCAAAAAGACGTTTTTTTTTTTTTTTTTTTTTTTCTCTCTCTCTCTCTCTCCAGTCTTAATTATTGTAATCATTGGATGTTATTTTTATCTGATTGTGAAATTTATACAAATTTTTTTTTTTTTTACTTTTATTATTGATTTGTTTTTTATGGCTTATCAACCTCTTTCAGATTATTTAAAGCCAGTAAATATTTTTTACATTGTAAGAATTTTTTTGGAGATGATGATAATTTACTGATGCAAGTTCTACTAATTAACTCATATCTGGGGGAGTGCATGTAAGTTAATATAAAAATCCTGACTGGAATTAGAAATCAGAGAGCAGAGTTCCAATTCCAAACCATTATTCATTATATCATCCGTACAACCAAGCTTACATCAACGGTTTTCCCAAGCAGTCACTCATTTTTGTTTTTTGTGACATAAAATTTGTAAATTGTATTGAATCAATGCAATGTTTTATTTTGCTTTTAAATTTAATTTTTATTTATTTTTAACCAGAGAGTGCAACATTTCTTTCTTCTCTAATTGATTTTGACTTCCTGATCAATGGAGAATTCCTCAATGTTTCACTGAAAAGCCATATCCAGGCAAAAAACATTCCTGCTGTAAGTAATTTGGCTTTTGTTTTCTTTATTTTACAAAAGAAGCAAAAATAAATTTTTTTTTTTTATGTCTTTAGCTGAAATCAAAGAAAAAATCCTTTTTGTAAACTGAAGATTTTTAGTTTTTTATACAGTCCAGTGGATTGCTTTATCATCCTTGACCAGCTTGGTTTTTCGTTATCGACCGGATGTCAGTGAGAATTGCAGCCATGGAAACAAGAATATTTTTAAAGTATCAGTTTTTGCTGAGCTTGAGTAACACCTGTCAAGGGATCTTTATAAAACAGCACAATATGTTGAGTAGTGAGTTTGACCATAATTTTGATTTTAAAAAATGCTTCTTTAATTAACTTTTACAACACTGGAGGCAAAAATTGATGCTGTAGAATTCTCTCCCATAGGTGTATTATGTCACCTTGAAATGGTTGCTATAAATAAAGACTTGTCAACTGTTATTTCCGGTGTTTTAAGCTGGGAATCGCCTACTACTGCTTTGGAACAAGACTAAACTTCCATTTTCCAATGCCATTTTGAATTCTTCTAGACTCTACACGAGGTGTAACACTGATTTAACCCATGTTAATTTTTTCGCAATTTTTTGTAAACAAAAATGGCTGCATCAACATCCAATAAAGCCTTTATTCGGAAATTTTTCTTTGATTCAGACTCTGATGATGATTCTAAAGGCTTTACTCAAGTGAATATTGACAGTGAAGTGGTCGAAGGTGATAACTAGGGGTTACTATGTGAAGGAAAATGTTGATGACCACTAGCGGCTACTATCATCCATGGCTGACTAATTGTATGGAAGCTACTGGCGTCCATCGATATACCTGATAGCCTTTCTGAAGGTGAATTATTTTGTCTATTTATAAACGATGAAATAATAACTTTATTTGTCAGCGAGGTGAAAAAAAGACCAAACAAATGCTGGTGTCTTCTCATATGTAAACACAAGGAAGCACATCACTTTTTTGATGAAATGAAAGCCTTTGCAATTTTGCTTCTTATTGCATCCCAGAACTTCACAAGGAGTAATAAAAGTTAAAGTATGTTAAATTGTTAATGCATTTGTTTTTTATTTTGTGTTTCAATTTTTTTTTGTTTTCAATGTGGAAACATGCATGCAAATATAATGCATTACATCAAAATATTTGCTCATCCATTTTTTTTTTATTAGTATACAAAAAATAAGATCTGTACACACAATACAAGGAAAGTTATAACGATTTTAAAACAGTCGGTGTTGATGCTTTTTGCATCCTTTAAAAAATGCAGTGTTAGGGGGAACAATTCTATTAAGAAATTTGTGCGTTAAAAAGAAAGCAATTTACTAAGGTGAAAGCAATACATTTGGGGGGTGGGGATTACTCCAATACATTGTTGTAAAAGAAATTATTAATGCTTCTCAGAATATTAAATGACTCATAAGGGTGTTGATATGTCGCTAAACAATGTAATTGCAGAAAATGCTGTGTTTCTGTATTTTCAGGAAACTGTTATTGAAATTGAATACCTTGAGCAACACCCAGCACCACAGCCTGAAGACTCTTTGATTCACAACGATTGGATCAGCTGCTTAGAAGGGAATTTGCAATTGTAAGTTGGCAATTTGCATTTATTCTTACATCTATCCCCTTAAAGACCAATTAACAACCAATAAATCTGTTTGGAAACAAAAGCTCTCCATGTAGAATTTAAAAAAAAATATATCAAAAGACTTAAAAAGACTCAGTTGTCTTCATAAAACTTGTTGCATGGAATTACCTCTACTTGAAAAGTGTCAAATTTCTCATCAACACATTGATTGTCAATCTCAAGATAAAATGTTGTTGACAGTTTTTAGTATTATTTCTACTACCAGTTATCTTGTGCTGACTAGAAGTTTATTCACAGTGATCCAATTAGTGCAGTGGTTCCTAAACTTTTTTTTCTCTGGGCCACATTTTTGGAATAAAAATTTTCTTGTGCCTCAAATTTGATGTGATAAAAAGTACATTTAAAAATAAAAAAGCGAAATGTGGTTAAAGGGAGATAACTGCAGGGTTGAAATAGGACCTTTATCATTGATAACTCTTTCCTCCAATTTGCAGAGCCTAGATACTTAATACTTGGTATAATGCAAAAATATCCCAATGATAAAAGTGGTCAATAATTATTTCTAACTATTTATACTGGGATTCATGCACGCAATTACAAGTAATCCATAGTAATATTTTAAATTTTAAAATCATATTTTCTAAATCTTTGTCTTTCAATCATTCCACCTCACCTGCTATCCTCTTCCACTGCACGGAATGAGGCATGCTGCACCATTTGGTAACCACTGGTTTAGACTTCAGTCAAACCTAAATATAAACTCATAAGAAATTTTTATTGCGTACATTCACTATTATAAAGTTGGCGTTTGAAGTCAGGTTTCATAATTGACCTCTGACAGTCAACGTGTCAAGACATTACACATTTACCACAAAATAGGTAATTATATTCAATTTAATGACATCTTTTTATAATGAAACGCTCCTTTTAGAAAAGAAAAAAGGTCTGGGTAATCTGAATTGGTTACATTCATTTTTTTAATATAAAAATGTTAAAATGAAATTTTTTTTTATCATTTCTCCCCAAGCAAGGCAATATAGCCACTAAGACACAAGAAGTTACTGAGTGTTAGAGAATGAGGGAAAAACAACATTATTAAGGAGAGAGAACAATAAAAAAAAACAGCAATTAAGATGGTAACGATTGACATTGCATTTAAATTTTTGAAAATCAAAGTTGGCTGGAAAGCAAGAAATTTTCACAATTGAGATAGCAGGAACTGTTACAGTTACATGTAGCCATTTCAACTGTAAAATGATGAGACTTTGCTGCCAATTGAGTACTGAACTTAAATTCTTAAAGTCTATGTATAATAGAGGAACATTCATCTGAACAATTACAATGAAAATATTTATAGAAAAGCCACAGAGAAGCTACATTAGGGCAATGGGAAAGTGACTGAAGTTGAGATGCCAGGTCATGGCCAATACTGTTGCAGATTCTTTGTATTTTATCTAGAATCTCTAAATATATAGCAGAAGCAACACACTAGCTGTGTCAGCAATGAATCTATGAAGAGTAAACTTATAAATGTGTAAGACAGTTTCTGGCAAGAAATATAGTCTAACATGACACGGAACCAACTTCCTAGCGGCAGACCTAGCAATTGATTCAATGTAATCTTTCCACTTCATGTCAGTGGAAAATGTTAGCCCATTAAGGTGCAATGTGTCACTTTCTTGGAGGTTAGTATCAGTCATGCTGATGAAAGATAAAAAGGGTTCTCTAAGACCATTAAAGAAGAGCAGTTTTGTTTTACAGGCATCAAAATTAACTAGCCATTGTTTGTCCCAGTTAACAACAGAACGTAGGTTATTTTTAAAAATAGACAATCCTTTAGAATAAAACTTGGTGGCATTCATCTTAATATACCGTATAGACTCATGTGACTTTTGAAGCTTATTTTAAAGCGGTCACATCATAGACAATATATAAAATGGGTATGTCTACTGCTGGCCTTGACTACGACATTGACCAAACTATATATCCCTTTACTGTAGTAAAAAGTACAGCTGTATTTAAAATAAACACAATTTTGATAAAACTAATATTTTACTTAACTGTATCCAATAATAATGTATGTAATCTTCACATATTAGTATCGTATTATAAAATACAAACACAGTGAATGTGCATCTTTTCCATTGTTTACGTTTATATGATGTTTAGCTGTTTCCCATTCAGTTGGTTATGGCTGTATGCATTTACATAATGAGTATAGTGTTACTAATGATACTTATTCTCTTACTTTTTTATGGGGTAAAGAGACAGAGGAAAAGAGGTTAGTCTATAGTAATTTGGTCTCTTGAAAACGGAACTCAAATGATACATGATAAAATAATTTTTTATAAGTGAAAATTCGGGGATCACACGAGTCTATATGGTAGAATGTTAAATTGAGTTTTTTTTTTTTAATTGAGAAGAAATTATTTATTATTTTAAAAATTTCTTTTTTTTCTTTTTTTTTTTTTAATTGAGAAGAAATTATTTTAAAAATTTTTTTTTTTTTTTTTTTTTTTTTTAACAGTATACTTTCTGGTTGCTATGACAACACTGTCCACCTCTGGACAACAAAAGGAGAAAGCCTGACCATTATTCCTGGGCATTCGGCCCCAGTGAAATGTGTTTCTTGGATCAACCTCAGTAAGTGACTGGTCAGTTTAACATTTGACCTTTTATTAAAACCTTTGGATGATCGCTTCTTCGTTGATAGAATGGAATCCCTTTCTTGAAATTTTCTTCTTTTTTTTTTTTCTTTTTTTTTTTTAATCATTTCACCCCAAGCAAGGCAATAATGCAAGGGGCTACTGAGAGTGAAAGAGAAACTGGAAAATTAATCCTAAACAAGAGACAAGGGATAAACCACTACTCCCATTCAAAAGACGGGGTAGAAGTGCGAAGCGGATGATTTAGAAGGGTGGTCCAGTTCACAATATTGACACAATGTCAAACCAACCCTGATCCTTACAGAATCAGCTGCACTTAGGTTTTATTTACATTGAAAATGTGTATTTATCATTTATATCTGTGGATAAAAAACATACGTTTCTTTTTATTTTACTGGAAGATTTCTTTTAAAGAAACAACAAAACTGATATCGACATTTTTTTTTGTATATTAAGATGTTTTAAACCAGCAATTGTTTTTGTCGAAATAGGTTTTTTATTTTTTGTTAAAAAGATTTTTTTGTCATTAAAAACAAATATATAGATTTTTAAAGTAGTGCCATACTTTTAATTAAAGAATAAAAATTAACAAAAGTATAAAAAAATTATAACGTAAGCACATTTTTCAAGGTACATTTGTAAATTAAAATTAAGTGCAGACAACTCTGCAAAAGACTTATGTCTTTTCATGGGTACATACACCATGAGTTATCTATTCTTGTCATGGATACATGGTATATAAGTTGTGTGTGTGTGTGTATATATATATATATATATACATACATACATACACACACACACACACATATATATATATAGAGAGAGAGCATGTATTTTTTTGGCAGCATGTTTTCATTAAGATATCTCTTATTAAATAATTTAGACAAATTGTGTCTAGAGGAGGCATAGTGGAGTAATGGATAGTGACTTGGATTGAGGAATTGGAGAGCCAAATTCGAATTCTATTCGAATCCATTACATTCACTTACGTGCTAATACCCTTGGAAAAGGTATGAATCCTCTTTCTTTTTTTTTTTTTCCCCCAGCTATGGGTAAATAGCAGGGCAGACCGGGTTCTATAGCCTTGGATGGCAAATGGTTTAACACAGAAAGAAATGGTAACCTACTGCGGGGAAAAAATCTGCCTCATCAGTCATGTATCGAAAGGTACATGATCGCCTAAGCATGTGTCACACATGGCGCATAACTGACTGACTGTGTCTACTTATTACATTATTTACAAAGGGTAAAAGAGAAAGATGAAGAAAAAAAATGGCATTTTTGTCTGATTGCTACTATAAACTGTCTGGATTTAAACCATTTGATGATCAATTTGCAATTTTTAATTCATTTTTCTTCTTTTGTTGCAGGTGAAGACGATCCAGTGAGTGAATTCATCAGCGGATCTCATGATCAGACATTGTTGCTTTGGAAATGGCATAGAGACACAAATGAAGTGGATTGTGTTTGTGTGTGTCGGGGACATGCAGCCAGTGTTGACTGTGTCAGTGTAGAGAAAACTGGGAGGAAAGTGAGTTTTTTTTTTTTTCTCTCTCTCTCTCTTCAACTTGTGACTTTTTCTGATTGTTTCTTTTGAAGTACAATCAGTGCCAATTTAGTTGAGGTCATTGTTTCACTCAGGTACACCATCTAGATATTCAGAATTTATTTCTTAATAAATTTGATTGTTCGTAGTAACTGACAAACATGAAATATAAACAGCATTTCCCATGCTACTTCAAAATAAACCTTACTACCTACAGTTCATCAATGATTCTCCTGGCTTGAAAAAATAAAGCCAGGAAGATAAGCTTTCAATATGAATGTCAGATCCAATCAGAAATGGAATATTACTGCGATATCTAGGTTGGAGCTGCCCAATCCTTTTTTCAGCCCTGGCAGAGTCCGAAAGTGTCTTGACAATGAGGAGTTTTACTCTACATCTCATTTCCCCAGGGATGAAATGCTGCAAGCTTCTCATTAATCTATTGCTATGTCCAAATTCCTCAGTTCCACCAGTTCAAATCTCTCACAGCGATGCCTCACCATCCAATGGACATGGACTTGAATCATCCTCATTCCCATCGTATTCCATTGATAAGAAGGAAGTTCCATTTGGGCAGTTTCTTCCCAATAGTTGCCATTTTATAGGAAATGACTCCCAAGAGGATGCTTCCCTGATCACTAGAATCTTTACCCTTCAAGTCTAGAGTCAACCATTATCTATCCTACATATCCTTATAATCTGCACTTCCTTTTACATTTATATGACAACCTCATTCTGTAGCCCTCTATCTTGAGTGGCTCTTGGGTCTTGCATTTGCTGCTGAAGCTATTTTCTCAATGGCAACTTCTTGCATTATTTTTAGTCAAGCCATTGCACATTATTAAGTTCTAGAAAAAAGTAAAGAAATTGTTTTTTTTTGCATAGATCTTCTACAAATCTTCAGTTTCTAGCCTTGACAGAGTTGAAAATTGTTTATGTGGTCTTGTTGGTGGGGGTGGCTTTAGTTTCCACTCTGCTGCAGACAGAAACTTGTAAGTCTATCGCTACCCTGTCGCTATTTCCATGGCAAATGTTCAGATCAGCTTTGCAGTTTGGTTCCACCACTTAAGACCATCACAGCTAAGACGTGGTATGCTACGTTGACAAAGTCGATTATCTCTGTATTTGATTTGTAAAGAGGAAGTTCTAATCGGAGAGATTTTACTCCTCCAAGAGAACTGTTACTTTCTGGAACAGATTCCCATATAGCTGCTTGCCCAAATTCTACTCAGTCAAAGGCTCAGTTGCTATCTATCCTCTTTATTCACATAATCTGCAATTCCTATTACCTCTTGCGTTCTTATCACACACCTCATTCAGTAACACCCCCTTGAGCCTTGTAATATAAAGAAGAAGAAAAAATCATGAATTTGTAAACATCTCATCTTTCCTCTTTATTGTTTATTTTTCTAAGGGAGAAAATTTGAGTTTTTTTTTTTTTTTTTTTTTTTCATTTGAATTGTGAACTTTATTTCAGATTTGCAGTGGCTCATGGGACAGTCTACTCAAGTTGTGGTCAACAGGTAAGCATTTGTTCTTTGTATTTGAAGGTTTATAAATCTGACAGATTTATTAACATTTATGATATTTGTTAGTAAATCCAAGAGATTTATTTTTTGCCCTTGATGTGCTGATTTACCTCTACAGATCTCTCAATGCCTGAAAATAAGTCACTGAATTTTTTTTTTATTTATATTATATATATATATATATATATATATATATATATATATATATATATCACAGCTGTTTGAGGTTTCCTACAGACCCACTGAACTTAAATAAAGTCAATTCAGGTTTCCTATGGTAAAATTTTCTTTCCCAAGTGAAAATCATCACAAAAATAGCAAAAAGTCATTTTGTCACAGCTTATTTTCTCTCAAAATATGGGTTTTCATACTTTTTTAGGGGTAAAATATTGAAAAATGACTGTTTTATCATCACCTAAACTAATATCAAGGAAACTTTTGATCTGAACCCCATGAAACTAGGTATTTTCTGAAAGCAAAAGATATATTCTTTCATTTAAAAGTAAAATTAGCTGGTGTAAATGACTCAAAATTTTTTTTCAGTGGGTAAAATGTGAAAAAATAGTGAAAATTTTGCATTTTTTTCTTGTTCTAAACAAATATTTCCCCCATTAATGGGAAATTAACCATTTTTTTTTTTTTTTTTTTTTGAAAATCAGAAAGCCTAAATCATAATCAAACTATTTCAGGCATAAAATTGAGAGTTTTGAAGGAAATCAACATTCCTAGGGGTTCAAAATGCGACAAAATCCATTGTTAATTTTCAATTATATGACTGCCAAGGGTTAAAAAAATTGACACCTGGCCACGGAAATCTTTAGTAAAAGGCAAGAGATTTATCTGCAATTCCTAACCACCAGAAACCAAAAGTTTTTTTTTCCCTAAAAATAGCGATAAGGGAAAATAAACCTAATTGACTTTGACATCTAGGTCAAAGGTCAGCCAGCCAGCAATAAACGGACGGCAAACCTTAGAACAAGTTGTAATAAAACCCACCACTCCCAGATGAAAGCAAAGAGTGAAAAAAAAAAAAGAAAAAAAAAGGGTTCACAATTACTAGGGCTTCATAACCTATGTTTGAACAATGGCTTGATGAGTTTTGTTTTGTTTTTAACACCCCGTGACCCGGTGATGACAACAACACTTAGCAGCCGACATTGTTTTTTTTCGCCACATATCTTTCGTATTTCCCGTCACCGGCCCATTTAGCCGTTCTTTTTATTCAATGATGTTCATGCCAAATGAAAGAGAAAGGAATGAATTTTGAATGGTGTTATTTTGAAGCGAAAATAAATATGTTTTCATAAAAAAAGGGATTTTTTTCTCAGAAAATTGGGCATAATTTCTTAATGCTAACCTGGCGTGACATTTTCCACAGCCAAATCGAAGATTAATTACCAGTGAATAATTCCATGTGCAAAAAATAGCCGTCTGGATCCTATAAGGTTGCCCTAAAAAGGTCCAGAAGTTTACTAATTGATCGAAAACCTGTTGCGCATAATTGTATTTTTCACGGTCAGTTTCCATTATTTCATCTTGATATTACCATTTTCGGACAGCCAAGTCATCAAGGATTCAGGAAAACACTTTGGCATAGGTTTTCTTTAAGAACTTTACATTCTATGAGGTGTTTAAAATGTTACTGACGAATGAGATTTTTTGCCGAATATTTCGTTTACGCGCCATGTTGGATTTTCCTATATGACAAAAACAAGGGTTTTAAACAGCTGTGATATATATATATATATTTTAAGACATTTTTATGTTTAACATTCTTTTTATAGATACAAATATTTAAGTAAATGCTCTGTTTATAATAAACAGTATTAAATAACATTTACTGGCCTGAATGTCCGAGAAATTTTCATAGAAAATATTCATCCTCCAACAGGATTTGAACCTGTATCCTATACGGAACCATCATATAGCCTGATGTGCTTTTACCAATTTCGCCACAGAGGATCAATCGATTAGCAAGGTCGAATTTACTGCTTTTAAACTTCAATCATCCATGAATCTCTCACGTACATTCATGTCTGATCATGGCATAGGCGTATCAAATGTAAACAAATGATGTTATATTTATTAAATGTTATTTAATACTGTTTATTATAAACAGAGCATTTACTTAAATATGTATATCTAAAAAGAATGTTAAACATAAAAATATCTTAAAATAATTGTCGGACTTTGTCCATTTCATAATATATATATATATATATATATATATATATATATATATATATATATATATATATATATATATATATTTCTCCCTGAAGGGTGGACAGACAGGTCTGTCTAGGAAAGTCTAGAGTCAGGCTGCTAAAGGTAACATCAATCAATTAAGTGATAAACTTTTTACTTGTATTAATTATATATATTACATAGCATAGATTTCTATTCTATGTCATTTATATAGTCTGTTATAATAAATACATTGAGCCATTTTTGTCGATCAGTTTTAATATTTTATATTATTAGGATTCACTTGGATTATATACCTACAGATTATTACCCTGTGTGTGTATATATATATATATATATATATATATATATATATATATATATATATATATGTGTGTGTGTGTGTGTATGGATTTAACATGAAAATTGATGATATTTATTATCAAATATGAGTCGGCCTTTTGACTAAATTGAAGCACGTAGAGAAAGATACAAAACTGAACAGATACATATATTTCAAGAGTCTGAGAAAAAAAATCTGTGTTTAAAGTCACTATTAGACTTTGCTTGACCATCAAGGCACTCCATGGCCAAGAGGTCCAAAGCATGTCAGATCTAATGATGGTTTATTCTAGAAGACACTTTCGAATCCTGCTAGAGAATGCTTACAGATCTCTAAGATTTTTTTTGATTATTCAGGATGACAGACAAAAATAAATATACTGTTTAATAAATAGAGCATCTACTAAAATATGAGTGTCCACTAAAAATAATGTCTAAGAAATAAAATATGATGGATTAATAAATGAAAGATCCATTCCTTTCTTTGGAAATCACTAATTGTATTAATCACCCACAATTTAGAAGCAAGGTTATTTGACCGTTAGGTGTCATTTTCACATAACACACAGATAACACATTCAAATTAAGACCCTGTATGTCATTAGGATTAGTTCACATCCCATAACAGATTGACAACAGGATCATAACAAGTTGATATTCCTGTTTTTTTTTTTGGGGGGGGGGTAACATTGAATTAATCCTGAGTCTCGCAATAAACTACATCCATCAGTAAGGTGTCTGATTGGGGGATTTTGGACATTTTAAGTTGCATGGAATCACCTCTTAATTGTTGTTGTTCCCAGGTCGGCCCTGATCCAGAGTGGTAGCACCTGTTAGGGTCCCAACTATGAGGAAATAGTGAACCCTCAAACAAAAACAAAACACTATGAAAGTATAAAATACATTTTTATAGTAAAAATACCAACAATACATTTTTATATAAACAAAAAATGACCAACAATACCTATTTATAGCAATACAGGACTTTGTTTTAAAAACATTAAATTTTGGCAATGGGCTGATATGCTGTAAAACAAACCAAACGACTTAAACAGTGAAATATTAATATAAATCATGCTAAATCAAGAAGTCACCCTAAAGAAAAAAATGGTAAAAGTCAAGAATCAGTGCCATCATTCGCATGAACAGAAATGAAGGTAATTTTGTTATACACTTGACTGGTTCAGATTTTGTAGGGATATTGCTGCTTATTTCATTGAGAGGAGGGTGGGGAACTGATGATAAAATTGGCAGTCCACACAAAATGGTGGAGATGGATAGAATTTGTCTCTTTGGAGGAACTGAAAAAAATTCTGAAGAGTTTAATTTGTAGAATTTGTTCCTGATCAAGAAGCAGTCATCCAAAGACATATTGAACAAGATTCTACAATCATTGGTGATGGTTGGTCTACTTAAAGGGCTAAAAATGATCTAGTGGTACACGCCCAGCACAAAGTTATAACCCATGAAAATAATTTTGTTGATTTACATGAATCTTTAGTTTTCTCTTAAACAATAGAGAATAAATGGATTCATAAAGCGTTTTCTCAAGAGAAAAAAGAACCAACAAAAGCATCAACACGAATTGGAATACATATCTGAATCTATATTTTGAGAAAAAAAAAATGTCTTTGAAAATATATTAAAAACAATATATATATATATATATATATATATATATATATAAAAATTTTAACTCTCAATATATGGCCCCCAATTCCTGACTTTTACCAAAAATAATGTCCCTCCTGACAGGGATTAAACTTTTATAACTTTTCTCCATCAGGCTATAAGAATGGTTTCCCTTATGGAAAGGGGGATACTGATTTGATTTCTGTTCAAGTGGGGATGCACATTTTCTTTGGCAGGGTGGCTTCTTGATCTTGGCTGGTTGATATAAATTTCACTGTTTAACAAAATAAAAAATGAAGATTACAATTCAAACACTAAAATGATAATGTTTATATTAATAATAAGAAACAATGCCAGATTAAAAAAATCGATTGGGAATTTTAAATATATTCATTTACTAGCTTAAAAGCCACCCTATCAGGAAGCATTTAAGCTAGCTCTTCATTAGGCCTTCATTACAATAGGTAGGGAGGAGTAGATGCAATAAGCTACAGAAGAACTCAAAATTGATCGCTGCATTTAAGTATTGCATTAATATCTAAGCTTGCCTTTTAAAAGTTCAATGATAATTCTTCTGCTTTACTTAATTTAAAGACAATTTGATGTACGTAGGTCCTTACTTTCTGTACAAACAATTATTTTTATTTCATTGGTGACTTTTTCTGGATTTTTCAATTAATTTTCATTATTCCCAATTTTATTTTCAAGTTATAAAAATTATCATACAAAAAAATTTGCCGCAAAAAATCATGTTAAAAAAAAACCTGCAAAAACAATCGCAGTAATAAAAACTTGGGAATCCAAAATTTCAGGATTCCAGGTCCAGATCCGGCCTGGAATATTTTTAATTTGCTCACAAAGTTGTCCTGATTCCAAAATGATACAATATGTTAGGATAGGGCTTTGAAAAGCTTTGACACACTGACATTCACATTTATTATATAGACGTGACTCTTTTAACGGTGTATACAAATATTAACCTGCCATCTTTAACAGGTACTATGCTAATTTCTCTCAAAATATATTTTCTCATTAAAGTCACCATTTGTTCTCTCTGCTTAAGACAATCTAACACTTTTACATGCATGTGCATATTGTAAGAGGAACTATGAACGCTATGGGAGTCATATCCCCACTCACGTACACACATCCACACTTCCCAGAGATACTGGGATTGCAACATTTGGTTGTTTGGCAAGCAATGATCCCTGGGGTCAATTGTTGCTTGAGAAACTCTTGTTTCATCTTTTAGGTTATAAATTCTGATTATTTGGCAACTGTTTGAAGAAAAGATCTTGAAGGATTCTTATTTCTTTATTTCTAGATGCTGATGCCAATTGTGATGTGCCCGAAAGTGAACAGAGGCCTTCAAAAAAGAAAAAAACTGCTGCACCCAAAATTCAGTCACGTGTGAGTGTTAGCACCAGTGCAATTCTTATTTGACGTCAGAGACTTAGCAGGAATTTCTTACATTTCAGTCTCAACCATTCAAGTTGCTCTTTCCTCTAGGAGTAAAGAATCTGTTTTGGGTTGAATTTCTAAATTTATTTGTTCTTACTTCCCTATTTTTATTCTTTCAGTCCAGTTTCTTAGATTTTTATTTCAATGCTTCTATTTCTATCCCACTATATATATATATATATATATATATTAATTCATTCTAAGCAAGGCAATAAGAACTCTGGAGACCCTTCTAATTACCGTCCTATCAGTCTCCTACCACTCTTCGGTAAAGTCTTTGAAGCTTTAATCAACGCCAAAGTGGTTATGCACCTTACATCCCATAATCTGCTCTATAACAAGGAATATGGTTTCCGCTTTACCCGTTCTACAGCTGATGTACTTACAGCCATAACTGAAATTGTTTACCTAGCACTTCATAATAACGGAGGAGCTTGTGCTGTGGCTCTTGATATCTCCAAAACGTTTGATAGAGTTTGGCATGCTGGCTTTCTTCGCAAGCTTCAGGGTTATGGAATTACAGGTCAATTGTTCAACTTAATACAATCATTCCTGTCGAACCGTGCATTGAAGGTCGTTCTCAACGGATTCTCCTCCAGGTTCTATCCCACGAACGCAGGTGTTTCCCAAGGCTCTATCCTAGGCCCTACTCTGTTCCTTATCTTCATTAACAATATTCCTGATGTCATAGGTTCCCAAGTAGGCATCTCTGCGGACGATACTACTATTTACTTCTGCCTCAAAAACAAATCTAGTGTCGCCGACAAAACTAACCTGGCCGTTTGTCTTGAAAAGGACCTCCAATTGGTTGTGGACTGGGGCAGGTATTGGCTGGTCAACTTTAATGCCTCAAAAACAAAACTGCTCTCTATTACTCACCAGAGAGAACCATCCCTGCACCCCATTAGAATGTCTGACGCTCAACTCTACGAAAGCACCTCTTTGCGACTGCTCGGTCTCACATTGTCCGCTGACCTGAGATGGAATGAATACATTGAGTCAATAGCTTTGTCCACCGCCAGGAAAGTTGGCTCCCTATGCTGCGCCAGGAAATTTTTCTCACCGGAGTCGATCCTTCAAATCTACAAATCAACCATTCACCCTTGCATGGAGTATTGCTGCCATATATGGTATGGAGCCCCTTCTAATTGTCTCAAGGTCCTTGATAAAATCCAAAGACGGATATGCAATGTAATGGGCCCTGATCTGGCATCTCGTCTGCAGCCGCTCTCTCACAGATGTGCCGTTGCCTCCCTCTGTCTTTTTTACAAATACTTTCACGGTAACTGCTCTGGTAAGCTGCTTTTGCTGGTTCCCAGACTTTGTGAATTTGAGCGCTCAATGAGACTGGCATCTCGCTCTCACCCTTTCACTGTCAAAACTATTAAATGTAGCCGTCTCTTCTTCTCCAATAGCTTCATGTCTCTTGTTTCTTGTTTTCCTGATAACTAATAATCTCTATTCAAATGCAATGTCAATCAACATCTCCAGATGCCCTGATCTATCCCCTAACCGTCTCTTCATCCTTTCCTCTATCACTCCTCTTTGTTCTTGCCTCTACTCTGAAATCCTTTGCGTGCTAGTGGCTTCATGCCTTGATTGGGATTGAATGCTTAAAAAAAAAAAATACCACTAAGATGCAAGGTGCTACTGGAAGTGAAAGAGAATGAAAAGACATTCGAAGGAACTGGAAACCCAATAATAGTATTAATTTCAGAGTTTAGGTGGAGACGTTAGAAGTATGAAGTTGATGTGGAATTTAGAAGGTGCCGGAAACAAGGGATAAATCTCTACATGGATGATTTGAAAGGGAAGTGCCAGAATGCAATTAGCTGAATAAACATGTGATAAAAACAATCAAAGTGAATCACTGTAAACTGCTTTAATATAAATTTGTTGTCATTTTTGAGTTGAGGAATTATCATGATTATCTACTTTTGCTTTTTGGACAAGGACAGTCATTTTCGTTGTCAACATTCTAGAGACTTAAATCTGGTTTGTGTGACTGTGAGTGTCTTTGTTAATCATTAGCACTCGAATGGTATTTGTCTTTATGCTAGGTCTACTGAGGAGGTTGTCAGTGCCTAACATGTGCTGATTCTTTCAACCTTCGTATACTCCAGTGTTGTTCTGTTATCGTGACGATTCCACAGTAGTTGATGACTATCTTTTTCCTCCATATATGAACAGCCATGTCTGATTTCCATGACTCTTTTGTGTTTTTTGCCACAACTATATGGAATAGAATACACACAGTTTTGTTTTATTCAGACAAGGGTTTCAGGATTCATGTCTCCAAAGGGTCAAGATACTTTTGAATCCTGATGTTGTATAGACTTCGGGTCTTTTAAAGCTTTTCAGATGTGCCCCATATGTATGGTAGGCAGAAAGTGGCAGATTTTTATTGTTGTCCTTGACTCTTGTCTTTTTTTTTTTTTTTTTTTTTTTTCCTCGTTTTGTAGAAGCAGATGTTTTATGCTTGAAAAGTTTATGCTTAACAAGTTTCTCATGCTGATCATCATCTGTTGATATTTGTCTGGGTTGCCACTTGCAAGTTTAGCCTGATTATCTCAGCAGCAAATGGTCCCTTCTTTTAACTCTGTATTGGTGAAGGGAATTGAAGCTCAGATAGTGACCAGTAAATATTGGTTTACAGATAACTTGAACCTATACCTTATGCAAATTGTTAGTACATTCACATTGATCTATTTCTTGTTCTATTGCAAACAGTATGGAAGATCTGATCAAGTTCATTTGGTCTGACAATGTTTGCTACTGATAGTACTAAAGTATAAAGGTAACATCTTCATTTCTAACCTACATGGTGGCCTTTAGTGGTGATATTTCCATACCCATTTCCTAAAAGTATTCTATATATATATATATATATATATATATATATATATATATATATATATATATATATATATATACGCACACACCTGTCGTATTTTAATGGAAAGTGCTCAATATCTGTGATAGAGCTAACATATTCAGTTGTATGGATATGAGTTTGTAATCATGGGTTTTGCGCTTTTGCGAAAAAACAATTGAGAAAAAATTTTTAATTCTTGCCAACACATTTCATTTTCTGACTTTAACAAGGCAAGCAATGAAAGCGAAATGTTTTGTAACAATAGTTACATCAAATTCAAAAATTAAAAAAAAAAAAGAAATGCTCCTGTGTAAGCCTCTTTCTGGATATTGGTAATTTCCTTTTTACTAAGAGTTTGTTTTTTGGTTTCCATGTCAAAATTTAACTATTGTGTTGACAAGAGTTAATTTTTTTTTTTTTTTTTTTTTCAGTTATCATTTTTAAACCAATTTGTCTTGTCTTCAGAATTATTCTGGTAAATTTAACTAATATATATATATATATATATATATATATATATATATATATATATATATATATAATCACATGTGAAAGAAAACATTATGGAAAGATAGCAATAAAAGAACAGGAATTAAGAAGGCAGTTGACATTTCATTGGATAAGAAGCTAGAAGAGTTCTATAAGCGAGAGAAAAAACTGTTAGCATAGAAGCTACAGTTATATTTAACCATTTCAACTGTAAAATGATGAGACCTAATTGCCTCCTATCTAGTATTGTGCCTAAATTCAACGAGTCCATGTACCATAGAGGTAAGTTCATCAAAACAATTACAACGATATAGCTTCCTTGTACCTTACAAGGAAGCTATGTTAAGGCATTGAGAAGGCAACTGAAACTGAGATGCCCGGTTAGGACCAATAACATTGCAGATTCTTTTTAGGCATTTTATATGTCAGAACTGAATTTTTTACCCACAGAATATGATTATCTCTGCCAGGTCATCTATTGAGGTGACAATCGCATTGGTGGGAGTTTACTTGAAACACTGGTTCCTGTATAATCACCAAAGTTAAGCAATGGTGAGCCTGATCTGTACCTAGATAGATGATTACTTGGGAATACCAGGTGCTGTAAACTTGGATGTGTGGCTGGTGTAATGGGTAATGACTTAGAATTGTTAATTGGCGAGCAGAGTTCCAATTCTTGTTGGGTTTGTTGTGTTCACTTACAGCAAATGCCCTATGAATCTGAACCTCCCCCCCCCCAATCCTGCTGTGGGTTACCAAGGCTTGTATCACTTATTATCTCTAAAAAAACATGTTTCTTACAATGTAAAAAGAAATATTTTCTGACTTTCTGTAAAGTATTGATAAACTGTAGAAAATGACACTATCACATTTTGAACCGACTGTTCGGTTAAACTCTCTTCCTACGGGCGGGAGGAACCCGAAGGAGGCTACGCCGAAGGGCGGAGTCTTCTTCGGGGAGGTAAAATCGTCCCTGAACCCGTTCAAATGGGTTATTTTTTGGCCGGGCCTAATGGCTCGGAAATGCCCACGTTAAAAAGGCCTTGTGCCACATGACATCCTCGTGGGGGGGTGACTGAATATCATCACATTGGTGGAAACCTTGGTGAAGAGGCTCACACCATCCTGTTGGTATGAATGAGCTTTTCTGATGGTTTCCACAAAAGTAAGCAGAGTTCCTTTAAGAAAGGTACATCTTTACCTGGTAGAGGTTGATTATATCAGATAGGAATCTACTCGCTAGATGACAGGCCAGGCTGAACAGTGAAGCATGGGCCTTGGTGGAATATCATCTTTGTGGATTTTGAGAAGATTATATGAATGTGTGATGGCTTCTCATATTTGCTGGATTTGCTGTTGGTATTTATTCATTGCAAAGTAATTCTTGTTTTTGTTCAACATCTCTTGTAGCTTTCTTTCAGCTTTCATAGTTGGTTCCATTTTTATTCCTTGCTACAGATGCCATTTCCAAACTACTGTATTTTCTTCTACATAATCTGACACTTGAATATCATACTGGCTTATGGCCATATCACATTGAAAAATTGGTTCCCATATGATCACCTAAGCAACATCAAGTTTTGTCAGTACCCAGATGGGTGACCACCTGCGAATATCAGGTGTTGTAAGCTTGGATGTGTGGTTGGTGTAGTAGATAATGGCTCGGAATTGTTAATTGTAGAACAGAGTTCCAATTCCAGTTAGGTTTGATATATTTCCTTATGTGCAAATACCTTTGTGTATAAACTGATGAAATTATTTTAAAAAGAAAAAAAAATTGTCATTGACTGCAAAGATAAAGGAATTATCATTAGTTATATTTTGAATTTATTTCCTCATATTCGTTATCACAGCATTTTGACTTTGGCCTTTAGAAATCTGTTGATCAGGGAATTTTAAACTGAACCCATTGTTTAATCGGGTGGTTGGGAGTGGATTCTTTTCTATCCACATCTAGGGATACCTTGTTTCTTTTCAAGCCCTGCACAATTCTTGCTTACTATGTCTCTACTACCCAGCCTTTGGATTGAACTTATAATCGCAATGTGATTAAATTCACATAACAACCACTCTAATTCACTAGGCTATTAAAATGTCCTTGGTTCCAGGGTGGGACTCAATTTTTGCATTGTAGCAGGGTGTTTGGGTAGGTTTCTTTATGACTCTGGTTTCAACATTTCAAACAGACTTTATTGATCTAAAGTTGACTTTTAGGAGTTTTTTTTTTTTTTTTAAAGCTTCAGATTTTGTCTCATATATTTCTTTTTTTTTTTTTTCTCATTTGCTTTTAGGTTCCTTTACTAACTTTGTCTGGACACACTGAAGGAATCTCGTCAGTCAGCTGGTTGGACCAAACCACCGTTTGCTCAGCTTCCTGGGATCATACAATCAAACTATGGGACATGGAAAAGGCTGAAGTGAAGTCGTCCATTGTAAGGGTTGTTTTGCTTTCCTTCAACATTATCGCATGAGCAGAATGTATCAGCGGCAAAAATGGGAAAATGTAGTGGGGGTAACCTATGTAACGAGTTTGTGTCAATGGATGGCAGAACAGAGACCAGGAGGGATAGTATTGAGACAAATATTGCTTAGCTCTACAAAGGATAGAAAGTTGTAGAGAGCCATGATCAGCCATGTCCTGAAGGGATATGATATATAAAAATAGTATGATCAAAAAATGTCTGGCTCAATTTCTTTGAATTAAGCAAATGTGTGTTCTGGTACAAATGAAAGTAGAAGAAATACATTAAGTATTAATGGCGATTGGATCATCGAAATGGATTTTCTCTTTTGGATCAGAATTGGGTTTTTTTTTGGTTTTTTTTTGGCCTTGAATATTTTGAAACTTTTTTATATATATATATATATATATATATATATATATAGGTCAAGATCTCCTGTGGCCCGAATTTGAGTCCATTTTTTTTTTTTTAAATTTTAGATTTACAGCAAAAGAACTTGTTAAAAGTTTAAGAAAAAGACTTTGTCAAAGCTCTTTTTTTTTTTTTCTCTTCAATGACTGAAGAAAATTCAAAATGACATTCCATTTAAACATTTTTCATATTATATTTTTCCATGTAGTCTTTTTGTTCTTCCCTCTCTTTCTCCTTTTTCTCCCTCCCTCTTTTCTTTTCTCAATCTCCCTCTTTCCCTCCCTCTCTCTTCTTTCTCTTCCTCCATTCTGTCTCCCCCCACTAATCAATTATTGTGTTTCCAATTTCAGCAAGGTTCCAAAGTCTTTCTGGATTTGTCATATTCTCCTCACAACCACTTAATTGTCACTGGATCTGCAGACAGACACATCAGATTGTGGGATCACAGAACATCAGGTAAACTATCTCTCAAGCCTTTGATATAGTTTTCCAAGTAATGAACAACTTTTTGTTTTGCAATAATTTTTATAGCCACCAAAGACTAAAAACATTTGCAAAATCCTTTTTGCTTGATGTGGCTTCATCTCTCTGGCCCTCATCTCAACTCTTCACTAGAATCTTTTGGTTTTAGGATTTTGGCCTTTCTTTCCTCATGTATTTCCAGCCTGGGATATTTTTCCAAAACCCTACATTTGAGCTTTTTGCCAATGACACATGTCAATGCAGCCTGTTCAGTCTTTCTGACACCACAAGATGGATGGGGCTTTTGCAAAAATCAGAGGTGATGTTCCTAAGCTGTTCAGCTTGGAAAATGTAAGGCTATGATGCCACTAAGACACTACAGAGTGTGAAAGAGGATGAAAAAATTTAGGAAGGAGCTGGAAACCCAACCCTAAGCAGGAAACAAAGGATAAACTTTTACTCCTGTCCAAAAGACAGAGGTGGGGTGAACTGAACGATAGTTCTTGCCACAAATGTATGTCACTCTGAATTTTCTGATCTTGCCATCCAAAAACTATTGATAAATTATGCAAATTAAGCTAGCCTCATTAAATATTCAAAATGGCTGAATGTTTGACTGAAAACCCAAATTTCCAATTCTGAAACTTTTTGTTTTTTCAAGGATTTTGATTTCACAAATTAATTTTCCAGAGCAGGCAGGGTTGGGGCTTCTTTGTGAGAAAGATTGGCATCACAAGATGCGACAAGCCTGTTGTAAATCTAATGAGAAAACAATTTGTGAATGGACTCTCATCTCCACACACAGCAAATTGTTTCGTTATTATTATTATTACTAGTTTGGCAGTTCCTTGTTTCGCTGATGACCAAATTTCAAATCTGAATTGTTTGTCCATTGAAAATGCTATATTTATTAGAAGATATATTCAGTTTAAATACAAAAGGATTCATAAAAATTACTTCAAAAGGCCATGAATTTTGGCTTTTACCTGTTACCCAGGGGATGTTGCCAGACATTTTGGGAAATTTGCTCTCATGACATAAATTTCATTCAAACTGTATGCATGATTGCATGTGCACGTCTGTATATTTTAATTCAATGACAGGCCTAAAAATATTTCTACAGAATGTTTTTTTTTTAAAAAAAATAAGTTTTACAAATAATTCTATTTATAACTGAAGAATTTCCAGAAAGTTCAATACAATCTTAGAATTATATGATTTTTTAGCATTTAAGTTTTTTTTTTTTTTTCACTTTAAGGATTTTATTGCTTAGCACAGGGTAGGTATTGTCCAGACTGTGGATAGGGAAAGTATATGTCCTTTTGTCAAATTCTGTGCTTATGTATATATTAGATGGGACAAACATGTATAAGTTACACAACACAGATATACACACATCCAAAGTCACACTCAGACTGTATGTGACAGACAATCATCTCTTCTTTTATATAAACTTCAATGTGTTTGGGGGTGGGTCTTAGAAATTAAACAAGAAAGGTGATCTACACCATAAATTTTCTTTCCTTTTTTTTTTTTTTTTTTTTTTTTTTTTTTTTTTTTTTTAAACTTTCTGACTTTGTCTTTTCAGAAGGTGCCATTGTGAAAAGTTCGTTTACATCTCATCGTGGCTGGGTATCTGGTGTTTCATGGTCACCAAACAACAGCAATCATTTTATATCTGGCTCTTATGATATGTTGATGAAACTTTGGGACATGAGAAGGTCAGAGGTTACTTTTTGTTTTGGTCAATAAGATCTTTACACTTGAAGCACTTCAATTTTAAAATTAAAAAAAAAAAATTAATTTTATCTTTTTAAAATGTCTGACAATCAACAAAGTCGCTTTTGATTGTGAAGTTTTAACAAAAACTAATACAAACTGCAGACGATACCATTCCACCTTTTTGATACCAAATACAAAAATCAATTAATCTCTTCAGAAGAATTGATTAAATAAAAAATTACAATTTGGTCAAATAATGAAAGAACATCTCTTGATTTTAAAAAAAATTCTTGTTAAGAAATTGTCCGAAATTCTGTTTTTTCTCTCTCTTATCGTATGAATTATTTTGCTTTTCTCTTTTCAGTCCCAAAGCTCCTTTGTACAATATGACTGGACACGAGGACAAAATTCTGGCCGTTGACTGGTCAATTCCAGACCTTCTTTTGTCAGGCGGAGCTGATAACCACCTGAAGATTTTCCAACAGAAAGAATTGTCAGGTTAAATTTGGTTTCCTGCTGAACAACAATTTTACACAATCTTCTAGAAATAGATTTCATTTTCAGTTGTAAATAAAAACAGAATTTGTAAATATTTCAATTTCATGTTGCATTTTTCTCAAATACAAAATCTGTTGATCAAAATAAACTTTAATTTTTCATCAAAAATATTTACATTTGATGTTTTCATTGTAATTTACACTTGATATTTAGACTATTATCCTCATCTTTGTAGTTTTATCACAGCGTTTCAGTCGTCATACCCTTAAACTTCTTCAGGTGTATATCGATCTGGGTAACCAACTGGAATTCTGAACTGAACCCTTTATTTAATCTACAGGGTTAGACTGCTCTGTCTAGTTTTATTTTTTATTTAGTGCTGTTCAGTTATTGCTTGCCAGTTTCCACTGTGTAAAAGAGTGCACAATGCCCAACTCTGGGATTGAACTCACAATCACTATGTCACCAAATTCACCAAGCAACACTTTAATCCACTCAGCTATTGTCCTGTAGTGAATTTGGAGCCGTAAACCTAACCTACCTTCAGATTAAAGTTACTGCACCCTGTTTTGATTGCTGTAGTTGAAAATTTGCTGTCATTTTTCTTCCTTTCTTTATTTGTATTTATTTCTATGCTAAGCCTACTAAGGAGATCCTCATAGTTTAGCACATATGCTGATTCTTTCAGTCATCTAACATACATGATCTGCCATGCTCGATTTTAGTGTCTGACACAAGCAGTGGAATGAGAACAGTCTACCTTTGTAGATCAAATAATTCCCCATATTTTACTGAGTTCACTTCCGCTTTCATGGGGTGCTTATAGATCTGGGTAACCTTCAGGGTATTTCAAACTGAACCTGTTATTTAATTTATGGGATTAGATTGTTCTCATTCTACTGACCATGTCTTGGGATGTCTTGTTCATTATTTTACTATTCTTCAGATATTGCTCCCCATTTTTCCATTGTGCCTGTCCTATATATATATATATATATATATATATATATATATATATATAATTATTTATTTAAAATATGATTCCATTTTTAAATAAATAATTATATTTAAACTCTACTTTTGTATCGAGCACTGTTTTTTTAAAAATAACAGAAATACTAAAGAACTTTGGATTATTTACCTATTGAGTTCTTTTCCTATTTTCTATATATTTTCACACACACACACACACACACACACACACACATATATATATATATATATATATATATATATATATATATATATATATATATATATATATATATACACACACTCTTGGTCGTTGGTGTGAGAATGTGTGCACATAGGCTTCCAAAAAAGGTGCTGTATGGACAAGTACCAAAATCCAAGCATTCAGTTGGATGTCCACTCTTACGCTACAAAGACAAGTTGAAAGACAATTTGAAACGTCTCAACTTTGATCTGAAAACCTGGGAAGCCCAAGCACCATGATCAGCTTCATCAAGCTCTGAAGAGGAGATGCCATCAAACTCCTGCTTTAACAAATTTCATCTGTCAGTGTGGCTTTGTCACCTGCAGCAAGACTGGGCTAGTATCGCACTTAAGAAAGCACAAATGAAATATGTCTTTCCCTTACCTGATTTTCTCTACAATAGCCCCTGTCAATATTAACAATTATTGATTATGCCACATCCAAGAATTGTTAATTGTTACAATTCCTGTTGGGTTTGTTATATTCACTTAGATGCAAATTCCCTTGGGACAATTATGAATCCACTTCTTCCCCCCAGCTATGGGTTAATGATTGAAACTTACATCACTAAACCATTATCATCTCCAAAAATAAAATAATTTGCGTACAAAATATTTAAATTTTGGCATTAATTAATATAAATATATTAAACGTATTGCTGATATCCCTTGATGAGTGAATGGAGTATTCACCTCTCAAGATCACCTCTGATGGGTGAATTAATGGTGGGGGTGAGTATCATGTTAGGTCTCCTGAACACCTGGCTTCTTTTGTGTGACATTGAGTTCTAATGGATTGATATTCACCTGATGACAACTAGCAGGCATAACAGCCAAAATTTGAAAACAACAACAACAAAGGTGACAATAATAGTCAGTATATAAATACATTTTCTTTGGTATGACTTTCAATGTCTAGGATGGTAGACATTAATTTTACTGTTTAAAGAAAATTCACATACCCCCCAAAAATCTAAGATGTCTATTTAGATATATCTACCTACCAAAAATAATGCTTATAATAATATTGGATAAAAAAAATCCCTTAAAAATTAGAGAATATTGTCTAAACATGATGATTCCTACATCAGGTTCGCTTTCCTAATGTCCATCCTGGTGCCATTATCCCGCACTGACCTACCCACTACATTTTCTGAACACAAAATGTTAGATTTGAATTGATCCATAAGAATTCAAAAAATGAAGGTGAAAACTGGTTTCAGTTCAGAGATTCTAATTTTGGGAACACAAATGAAGATATTTTGATATTTTCCTAAATCTAATGACACAAGAACTAATTTGGAGTTTTAAAAAAAAAAAAAAATAATAATTTGACTAATTATAAATTCTGGAACAAAAAGAATTGCTTAATAACACTGACAGGAAAAAGTTATTTAGATGCCAATTTAATTACAAATATATCTTAAAGAAAAAGATCTATTAAAAAAAATGTAAAAGTCTAGAATCAGGGTCATAATTTGCAAGTTAAAATTTATTGGTTTTAATATACTTTCAAATACATTTTTTGATATTTTTTTTAATATATATTCATATATATATATATATATATATATATATTCCCATTTGTCTGGATGCTTGTTGGGCCCTTTTTTTCTGAGAAAACTTTGAGATGAAGCCAGCTATTCTCTATTGTTTGAATATGAGCTAAACATTCATTTGTAAATCAACAAAATTATTTTCATTAATTTATTAATAACTTTGTGATTTTATCCCAAATCATTTTTAACCCCTTTATAAGCAGACCAACCATCACTACTGATCATGCAACTTTATTCAATCCATCTTTGGATGACTGCTTCTTGATCTATTGGGAACAAATTCTATAAAATAATTAAATTCTTCAGAATTTCTTTCAGTTTCTCCAAAGAGCCATTGTTGATGAATCACTTGGTCGTAGTTACATTTTCTTCTTACAATCAATGTGTTTCATCAAATCTCCATTTTGTCTGCACTTGAAATATAGCAGCACCCATCCCTCCAAAATCTGAACCCATCAAACTGTTTGCTTCAAGTAACTGTAATCACTACTTTCAATTTCTGCACATGCAAATTATGGCCCCGATTGTAGACTTTTAGCACAAAAAAATTCAATTCAACCATAAAAGTATTCTTCGTACGATTGGAAAGTAAACATAAACACTTTTATGATGATTTTTACCAAAAAAAAAAAAAAATGATTTGCAAGTTGTTCAACGAAATATAGAGTTACCTCCCTTAGTTCACTTAGAACGACATCCTTATTTTTTTAATTACAAAACTCTGGTCTCACTTTAACATAGAAACGTTATTTTTTTTTTTTTTTTTTTTTTATATTACCATATCTCTTCAAGATGGAGACGATCATGACTCTCCACAGATTACTTTTGTGATTTTGCGGATAAAATAAAATGGCATTTAAAATCCTGTAATGAACTAGGTGCTTTGGCAAAATGAGAACAGAAATCTTTCATATTTCATATTACATTTTATTCAATGCCTGACTGATATGTGGACCTTACACTCTCGGCTGAGAACTAAGAAACCGCCCCTTCCACTCTGGTTGGACTGTTTTATATCTCCATTTGTCCAACAGTTTTTCTCACATGCGCACATTACAGAAGCTGCCTTGCCCTCAGGTGTTCACCTCTCAAAGGCACTTCTGACAGTGGGTGAATCAACTAGGGGTCATGTCAGGTTACCTCAGCACTTGACTTCCTTTGACAGTCTTGTGTGAAATTGAGTGCCAAGCCTATTCTAGCATTCTATATCACAATCCTTGTAAGACAATAAGAAAAACTATTTCCAGACAAGACTGCAATCATTATTGATGAAAAGGCTAAGAATGAAGACTTAAGTCCTAATGAGTTAGGACACTAATATTCCCAAGGAAATTGTTTGTTACATTTTAATTAAAGAAGTTTGCACAGTTAATAAGGTTTCAGTTGAATGATGCATCTGCTGTCAAAACTTGAAATTGCTATGACATAGAAAAAAAGAAGCGATTTACATCTCTATCTGACGGCTTCCAAGCCAAACATTAACAATTTGGCAGCCCTGTACTAGTCACAGGGATCCCATTGAAATCATACAAGATAGAGCTGATAATACATGTAGTTTTTGTTTTGGAAATAAATGAGTTTATTCAAATAAAATATTTATCCAAATAATATTATTCTTTGATTTACAACTTGAGTTAATGTTTTGATGCCATAGTATTATCCAAACTACAACCTTTAATATTCCTACTTCTCTAGATGTATTAAGTTGAGGGACGGAGAAAGAGGGGAGAAGGGGGATAAGAAGTGAAGTTGACATGAGTGTCTATAAAGAACTCGCATTGGATTGAAGGGGGCCATGACCAGAATAAGGTTGAGAAATGTACTAAAATACCAAAATTCTCCAAGTTTTTTTAAATTTTTGTTGTTTATCAATCAAAATAAAGAAAATAAATTCAAAATAAAGAATAAAATAAAAAAAAGTCAACATATGGAAGGTTGCAGGCAAAACTGAATGAAAGAAAAGGTGACACTCGAACAAGGACCGTACGGGGAGGGGGAGGGGGTGACAATTGTCTATTTTAAGCAGTTTCAAGAACTGTTCTGAAAAACAACCATATGCAGACCTGAAATTGTGTTACTAGAAATAACCAGAAAATAGTGACATTTTACCACATGTAAAGGGTGAAACAGATTTTACCGCCTGTAATGGGTGAAACAAATCAAGGTACAGCCTAGATTGTTAATTTCTGTTAAGAATGAGAAAATGCAGAGAAGTTGCAGTGACTTACCCT